TTCCCCTGAACCTATGCCAGTGCTTCTGCAACCAACACCTTTGTGTCATTATAAATACCTTTATATTTCCTAGACTCTTAGAATCATATGGTATGTAACTTTTCTGACTTCTTTGGCAGAACATACTTATTTTGAAATTCATCCATGTTGTAGTATTCATCAATAGGCTATTCCTTTTTATTGCTGGATATTATTCCATTGTATCTATATCAGAGTTTGTTTGTTCATTTACCTACTAATGAACTTTTGGGTTGTTTCAAGTTGTTGCCTATTTTAAGTAAAGCTGCTATAAAGATTTATGTTCAAGTATTTCTACAGACAAATGTTATTATTTCTTTTGGGTAAATACCTAGGAGTGGGAGAGTTGAATCACATGATAGTATACATTCAACCTTTGCATTAGTCTGTTTTCTATAACTATGATAAAATATCTGAGATAGACTATAGAACACACTGGAGCGATGTGAACAGTAAAGACATGAGACATTCACATATGGCAGAGTGATAAAGTGAGACATCTATCCAAGAAGATACTAAATCTAGGTGCTATTGTACAGTAAATACTCCTTCTTTTCTGAATAGAAAGGAGTGTGCACAAGGATAGGCAAGACTTGGAAAGAATTCACTTATAAACTTCAAATGAAAATGAAAGTTAACTTGCAGAGGAGAATATTGCCTTATTGCAACCATACAGGAAATAAAACCCACCTGAATGAAATACTGAATACATCTTGTATTTGTTTTTCTGAGGAAGATAAAATATAGCTATTTGGTTTAGACTTTAAAACCAGACAGGCAAAAATAAGCTCAACAGCCACTTCTCAAAAGAAGAAGATCAAATGGCCAACAAATATGTGAAAAGGTATTCAGCATCTCAAGCAATCAGGGAAATGTAAATGAAAACTACATTGATATTTCATCTCACCACAGTTAGAATGGCAATCATCAAGAATACAATAATAATAAATGATGGTGAGGAGATGGGGGAAAGGGTGCACTTATACAATGTCGGTGGGACTGCAAATGTTAGCACAACCATTCTGGGAAGCAGTAGGAATATTCCTCAAAAGACTAAGAATTGAATCATCACATTACCCAGCTTTATCACTCCTTGGTATTTACCACAAAGAACTAAAATCAGCATACTATAATGGTAAAGTCACATCAATGTTTATGGCAGTGAAATTCATGATAGCCAAGTTATGAAACCAGGCCAAATGCCCGTCAACTGATAAATGGATGAAGAAAATGTATTTCACACATACACATTCATACATACTAGAACAAGAATAAGAAGTGCCCATACACACACAGACACACATACATACACACATTTACACACACAGACATGCATACAAAAAAAATGGAGTTTTACTTAGCCATAATGGAGTTACTTAGCCATAAAAAAGAAAGAAATCATGGCATTAGATGGAAGAACAACAAGCTAAGTGAAATAAGCCAGACTCATAAAATTAAGGCTTGAATGTTTCTCTCATATGTAGAAAATTTTAAAAAACGAGTTGTAGGGAGGGAATCCCATCAATATAGACGAGACATAAATTGGGAGGAAGGGGATTGAAAGGGAGGGAAGAGGGACAGGAAAAGGGAGGAACAGCAGGATAAAACTGACCGAATTATGCTATGTACATATATGAATATACCAAGTGAATTTCACTGTTATTTGTATGTACAAACCACTAATTTAAAGAAACTATAAATAGAGAGAAGACCAGTAGAGGAAAGTAACAGGGAGAGGGAGGAAGGAGGAAAAGGGGCAGTAGTACTAAGGGATGAAGTGGAGCAAATTATACTCCATGTATGTATGATTATGTTAAAATGCACACTGCTATTATGTATAATAGTTATACATAATTATTACATAATTTCATCAGTACATTATAGATATAATGTACTGATAAAAACTTAAAAATGGAAATCATTCTTCTTTCATTGGATGAAAATAAACATTTTTATATCATTGTATATACTTGGATATATAAATTGCTACACTAGAATTTGCTTAATGGGCAAAGTCAAAGATAAGGGAGCAGAGTTTTACTAAAGAAACAAGCCAGCCAATCTAGGTTTATGTAGCCACATGATGGCCTAACCATATGATTTAGGAACTTGTAAATTCCGTTTCTTATGGAACACATCACTACTTGTGTCAACTAATAGGGAATCACATTGCCACATTTTTATGAAGAGCGCATGTGTGCACACTCCCTTAGGATTCAAGGAATAATTTTGCATGAAAAAAAAATTGGTCCTACCATATAACAGAATTCACAATTGAGTACATTAACATTTCGTTTGATGACTTTTTATTTTTAACACTTAAAATATGTGAGCTAAAAACTTTGCCAATTAAGTAACTTTAATATGCATACATTCATAGAAGTATGGATAATGCACTATCAAATGACATGGTGCTAGGATTTCTCATAGTGAAATAATTAAATAGAACGTATTAAATATTTTCTTTTATAATTCTAAAAATGACTCAGCCTTTGGGGTTAGTATCATACCTAGTAGTTATTTTCTAGTTTTATTTTATTTTTACTTGTTTAACAAAAATTTCTTCAATATCTAATGAGACTCAGGTTGTTCACTGATGTTAAGACTCAAGAGAAACAGATGAAAAGGTGTTTCTTTAAGAGACTTCATGGAAGAGTCTGTGTAAGATCATATACCAGAACCACCTGAACATTTATTATAAATGAGATTTCTGGGCCCTACATCCTGATATTTAGAGTCAGTTATTCAAGGCTGAGGCCTACAAACCTACTTTTGAACAAGCCTGTTGATGGTTCTGATTGTGAGGACTACGGTTTTCAAAGCTATTAGAGGGATGGACTGTTCAAGCTTCCATGTCTGATGGAGCTAGTGTCCAGCTCCCGTCAACATAGATGAAGCAGATTTTGTACAGTCTGAGAGTTGAGGACTGAGGAAGTGAGCAAGCTGAATTCCAGACTTGATCTCTGCCCTCCAGGCTCTGGGCCTCTCCTTGATCTCCAGGGTTGACACTGCCCAGGAGATTCTTACTCTTGCTATAGTGGGCTTCAGTGATGCCCCTTCTCACTTCACTCTCCTGCCAGTTACCTGCCTTTGAGTTATCTCTGGTGTCTTTGACTCTTCTCTTTTCCCCTCCTCCATTTTCATTCAGCAGCTCTTTTACCAGCATCCAAAATGAAGCACTTAGCAACTCAAGCTATGATCAGAGCTTTCTAATTGCTCTTCTTGTCTCTGTGGTCTCCTAAATCATAATGTAATCCATCATCAATAGGTTGATAAACCTAACAATGATTTTAAACTGTCAGGCTTCTCCTGAGAGCAGTTTTAAGTTTTCCCCCATTCCCATACTAGCTTCATTTCCCATTACATGTATGTAACCCCACATCATATGAATAATTTTTGTATACCCACTGTATTAGATGCACATGTTTCTAAAGGTTAATGTTTAAATTTATCAACATAATGCTTGAAATATTTATTAGTGAACCTAGCAAGAAAAAAATTGTTCTCAAAAAAAAAAAAAAAAAACCACTCCATAAGCTATAACAAATCATGCCCATACAATACAATTTTTATTAACTGTGGCTTTCTATTCTGAAGCAGGAAAGAGCTGCTATTTTTAGTGACCTTTAAGTGCCTATATGTAAAGCCTCTCTTCTAACTTTCTAAGAGGCTGTTTCCTGTACTCAGTCTGTTTATAAGAGAAAATAGACAGCTGTTCAGCTGCTCAGAAGCCTCAGGTGTCTCTGTGGGATGCTTCTGGAAACAAAAAAAAAAAGAGCTGGATTCCCCTGCTGGGTGTAATTTTATAAGCTCTGTAGGAGAATCTTTTATGATCCTTTTCTCTACTGTACATAATGTATGCTAATTTTTTAAAAAAAAAACCAACCCTTAGAATATTTTTAGAAATTCCAAGTCTTAACTCTCAGAATTTTAGAGACATGCAGAGTATTTTGCACCTATCTACAAACCTTTAAAAGGAACACATCTTTTTATGATGGTATTTTTAATAATGCTGCATTATAGAAAAATACATATTATGTTTACCTGTTTTGCATATTGTTTTGCAGTGTGTTCCAGAGGTTATAATTAAAATGCACATTAGTTTTTTGTTTTTTTTAATGTCTCATTGAGCACCTTCTGGACTTTAAACTGAGCAAAAAGGATTTCATTCTAATCAGGTTTGTCTTAAAATAATTTAAAGCCCAAATTGGCCTCATGCTGTCTTGAAGATAAAACTCCTGTTTTCTCTATACAGTGGCCGCCCCTTTACCTACAGTTTCACTTTACATGAGTTCATTTACCTCTGGACTGCTGTGCTCTGAAAATACTAAAAGAAAATGTCAGAAATGAACAATTCATAAGTTTTAAATTGCATGCCATTTTGAGTATTATGAAACCTTGTGCAGTCCTACTCTGTCCCTCGTAGGATGTGAATCATCCATCTATTCATCATATCCATGCAGTATTTGCTACCCACCAATTAATCATTTAGTAGCCATCACAGGTACCAGAACAACAGTCATGGTATCATGGTCTTATGTTCAAGTAACTAACATCATAGCCTAAAATTATCCACCTCACTTCATCTGAACACATAGACATTGTATCATATCACCACAAGAAGCAGGATGAGTATAATTAAATAACATATATTGAGAAAGAAGCCACATTCACATAACTTTTCTATATCATTATATTCTTTTTTCTGTTATTAATCTCATTAAGTGCCTAATTTATATATTAAGCTTTATCATAGTTATGTATGTTTAGGAAAAACAGTACACACAGTGTTTGGTACTATCATTAGTTTCAGGCATCGACTGAGGGACTTGGAATAATCCCCACCGATAAGGCAGAACTGTTGTAGCTACTACAATAGCTATGGGTATGAAAAGCATTTATGTCTTTGGCTATATTAATTTAACCTCACACACCAGTTTATAAATATAGTGATCATATTATACAAGCAAAAACAAGGTAACTTGAGTATTTTAAATTTGAATTTTATTAAATCAAACAGTTCTTACAACCTCAAGGATTATGTTGTATTCAATGACATCACATAACTGTACCTTGTTCTTTACCCAACTTCAGGTGATATCTGATTGAAAAACATTTGAACTCTATCATAACTGATGATTCATGGAAACTTCTTAAAACAGCCTCAGAGTAGATTTATTACATGTTAAAAGCTTCTCTAGCAGGGCATGTTCTGAAAGCAGGAGAGTGATACTACCATGATGCCTTTCCTTTGGAAGTGTTAGCGCACTGGCAGAATTCTGCAATTGGCAGCTTCCCCATTTGTGGAAGTTGTGCTAATAGGAAATGCATCTAGGTTATCTGAAAAGCTAAGTTCTTACATCCTACATGGTAGTTTGACTATCTGTGTCCCACAGATGCTTCCTCGTGGTGCTAGAAATGCTTCTAACCAGAAGAGCAGGTCGTGTTCTAAGAGATAAGAGAAGAAAAGAGGAAAACATTGCTCTCTCACTTCTTCCTATGAGAAAATTACATAAAACTCTTGCAGAACCCATGAAAGGCTCTTTTATAATACATTCACAAACTGTGAAAAATACTGTGATTTTATTTGGGAAAAAATCATATTGCCTGCATTCAAATAGTAGTCACCAGATTATTACGATCAGTAGTATGATTAATATTTTTGGGTTTTTCTCCCATTAAGGTGACATATTTGTTTGATAATGGAGGGACAGTCTTCTTTGCTATATTTATGGCAATATGGGGTAAGTATATGTTTTCATTACCTATGTTCCAGTTTTATTTTCTAAGACTATTGCTTTATTTCTACACACATGCACACACACGCGCGCGCACACACGGTCACCATGTATCAATTCAACAATAGTGTATGCTGGTACATGCTTTGTTTGTTCTCTTCATACATTCACTTTTTCTTTGGGAATTTAACTCTTGATCTAACCCTCTATTCCCTAAAGACTAGTTTTTTCTATATCAAAGGATATACTTTTTCTTGCCAAAAGCAGATGATAATTTAAAATAAACTGAAACAAACTAGAAAACAAATTAACTTCCTGGTAATATTACTTGTGAAAGTGATGTTCTGGAAGCTTATGTTTGCTTAATATTTCCATGCATCTTTTTTTTTCTTTACCTTATGCTTTATACATTTAGAGATGCAGACTCTACTCCATACGTGATTAAACAATAAGGTATAATATATAATAAACCCTTCACCTGACTAACAACTCAAAAAACTGTACGAATAATATGCACATATATTCTTTGGCTGTCTTTTTTTTCACCATATTCCTCATTGAGTTTTTAAGTCACCCCATTAATTGAAATCTAAAGAATGTCCCAAACATTGACAAATTTAGAAGAGCTGTCACGTTCCTGGTTCAGATCCTTTTTCCTACCATGGGTCTTCTGGATGCTCATTGTCAAGGTAGCAGTTCCAGAAACTGACTTTGCTCATGCTCATGCAGAGAAGTAGAATGTAGTAGACCACATCTTTTAGTGTTACTGCTTTTATACCCCGCAGTGGGGGATGAGGGGACACTGCAAGCTATATCCTTTTTCTCACTCTAAGATGAAATTAAATACAAATATTTATTCTCCACATTCTTTGAACAAAATGCTAATCCTGATTTAGAGCCCCACAGTTGCCTGTGGAACAATAAAGATTCAACTCCATTGGTGTTTGTTAAAAAAAAAAAAGTGAAAATATAGTTTTGGTTTCCAATTTTTGTTGAAGGATTTTTATTATTAAATTATCAAGGAGTACTATCAAGGAGTGATATTGTTTAGTTTGATTCCACAGATACTTCCCACTAAGGAAAAAATGGACAAAATATAAATGATAGTTATGTAATAGATGTGTCAGTCCAACAAAATGTTGTAGGAAAGGAAACCTTTTTGATGTTTTATTCCCTCTGTGTTTCTGCTACTAGTCCCATGCTTTTACAGTTCTTCCTGCACAGTCCACGGGAGAGTGATCTTGCATAAACTCTTGAAAGATGAGTCTCTTAGAAGGCCATGCTGTAGATGAGCACTTGCTCTCTGACAACTTTATGTCTTAGTTTCATATTGAGGTACGGAGTGGAGGAATGTCATCCATGGGAATGCCATCGTGTGCATTTTCTCGACTTTCTGGCACAGATGAATCATTCACAGTTGGATTATAGTAACTAGAATTTCCAAAACTCACATCATAAGGTTCTGGCGCATTGTCTAATCGCAGAACTAAAAATAAATAAATAAGTAAACAAATAAAAAAATAAAATTGTTTTATGCCAACAGTCTAAAAAAATTCATGCTCAGGCATTTGACTACATTATCAGATTGTAGGAATTGTTCTGGTTGAGTGAATAGGTACCTCTTTGATGTGGGCTTTTCAGATACTACTTTTGAAATATTAAATAGATATTTTTCATGCTACATTCATTTTTTATGACTAAGAAAACATTTTTACTTTCAAAATTGTTCTGCTGGTACACCCAAAATAAAGGAACTAAGGAAGAGATCACTAAAATGTACACCGATACCTTGTATGATTAAATATAAGCATGCACATTATTGAATGTTCCAAGCCTTGTCAACAAGTCCAGATTTTTTAACTTGTGATATAAAAATTATTTTTTAAAGTGAGGGCATTAAAAGTTCATTGCCATAATTTCACCAACCATCTCAACATTTGATGCTCAAGCCATTTAAAGTGAAGAATCGAGAAAACTATCTGTGAAAGCTTGTATTTCTTTCTGATATATTCAAGTCATCATGCATTTAGGAATTAGTAATCTAATTATTCTAAGGTACTGTCATAAGCTTACCCACCCATTCTTTAAGTCATTCATTTAAAAACTAGCCTCTCAACAACCTTAGGTCTTTAAGAGCGGTATCTTAAAGCTATCTCAAAGAGGTTAATCTGGTGGTCTGACTATGTTATTTCTTTATACATCAGTCACACCTGTTTGATGGCATTAATGTGATATCCTGAATTCTTTCATGACATAGATAAGGCAGCATTCTTCAGTAGACAAAAATAAGATGCTTAGAAATCCTATGCTTTAACTTTGAAAATTTCCCTTTTTTATGTTGTTTTCTGTGGATTACTAGAAACCCATAAACAGAATTGGATATGTTAACAATGTATTTGGCTCTGAATATGAGTGATATATTAGATACGAATTGAACTCATGAAAATTCAGTGAGACTTTAGCCATGGGTCTCATCTGGGCAATTAAGTATTGGTGGAAAAATTTCTTGTGAAAATAAGAAAAGTTTTTTTTTTTCCTTAAAGTATATTAAGAGAGATGAGTCAAACTTATAAAGTGATTTCATGTCTGTTCTTTTTGGTATTTTATTAAGATTTTGCTCAGTGTTTTATTTTTAGTACATATATTTTCACTTATAAATATTATGATAGCCTTTTCTATTTTATGATTGAAAAATTTCCTGAATTAAGTTATATTGTGACTTTATGTATGTGAAATTTGTAACTTTGAGCTACTCTCTTTTAGAAATTTATTAGGATTAATGGAGGGCTGTTGTATGTGAGTAAGTTTTGGAAGAACTAAAAGTTTAAACAATCTTTCTTCAAATTTTTGCCACTAAGAGAACTTACAATAGCAAAGAATGGGCTTTGCAATCACTTATAAATAAAACTGGCCTTTTTCCTTTATATCATATCATTATTTTTCTACTTTACATATATTTGGATTCTGGAATTACTATTCAAAACCCACTTTTACACAATGAGCAACAGTTCAATATAGTTTTTAAATTTCCCTTACTTTGGTTTTCTTCCTGAATTTTTTCTTTTATTAGTGTATTATAGTTACACATAATAGTTGGTTCATTTTGACAAAATTTTACATGCATGGGGTTTAATTTACTCCACTTCAGACCCTGTGCCTCCTCTTTCTCTCACTTCTTCTGTCCTCCTATTCTCTTTCCTCTATTTTACTGGTCTTCCTTTCACTCACTTATTTACTTATTTATTTATTTTTGATTGATGCTTGATAGATATGCATAAAGATGGGATTCACTATGAGAGAGGAGAAGGAAAGCGCCAAATTACCAAATGAATTTGGTTTTGTTCTTTGAAAAACAGAAGGTGGATCAGAATAAGTCTTTCCTGTGTTTTGGTCATATTAACATCCACATCCCTTCTAAGCAATGTGTTCTTACTTAATTAAAACCACTGTGTCCCAGGTGAGATTCTGAAAGGTTTTTTTTTTTTTTTTACCTGGTTCATTTCTGTCATCATAAAGTCGCCGATGGGAAAATGAATCCATTTTCCTTTTTCCACACAACAAGTAGCCAACAAGACTAAGCAAGGAAGCACCAAGAATCGCCCCTAAAATGGCCCCAAATACTACTCCTGTATTTTTATTCTCTAGAGAAAACAGAAAATATTTACAGGTAAGAAGAAGAAAATAATTGTTCAAAATAGCAGAAATAGATATGTGGTTTTTCTATACACCAAAGAATTATTCATATTTTTTTAATTATATAATGGTGACAGTGTGTGTGTGTGTTTGTGTGTGTGAAAGACAGATTGTCAAATATACTTACTGATAAAACTACACTACTAATTTTCAACTATAACTAAACACTCCTAAATTATAGATTTATAACTGTTTTGTTACTTATTACATCAACAGGACAGAAATGTCACATATGTTCACTATTAAGATCTCATCACACTGTTGAATACTGCATTAGGCTTTCCATAACCCCCAAATTTCTGATGGACTTTAATGCTGAAATGAACTTTGCATTTTTTTCTATAAATAATTCAAGAGGTATGGTGCATACCTGTAATTTCAGCTATTCAAGAGGCTCAGGCAGGAGGATCATAAGTTGGAGGCCTTCCTGGGCCACTTAGAGAGACCCTGTCTCAAAATAGAATTTTTAGAAAACCTGGGATGGTTCCTGTTTGATCAAGCACTTGCTTAGCATGGGTGAGACTCTATGTTCAAATGCCCAATACAAATAATAATAATAATGAAATTCACAAAATCCCAGGTAAAAAGTATATTTATGAATATAACAAAGTCCCCAAGGCAACATGCTTTCAACCTTGTATGTCAAGATGGGAGTACAAAAGAGCCCAAAATATCATTCTGTGTATGTATTACTGAGTGCCTTATTTGGAGAAGTCTTCAGTGGACTTCTTAGTGCTCCTGGAACTCACACTTAGTCTGTGTTTCATTTTTACTTCTTGAGAAGTTTAGGTAGGTATACAAGAGGGTCTCTGATTCTAGATAAAACCCCTCTGTCAAAGAAAAAAAAATTAACATTCATGTTAGAGTACAGTAAAACTAAGTTACTAACATGAGATGCAGGCAAACAGCATTTTCTTTAAATAAAAGAACAATGATAGGAGTAAGTACTCAGTATTCTGAGTAGATCTATTTGGTTTGGATATACAAAATAAAATTATTTTAAAAGTCACTCTATTAAAATACAGGAGTGTGAATAAATGAAAAGATAGGTTAAAATTACAATTAAAATGAAAGTACCTATACATATCCTACATATTTGATTGCAGTGTTGTGATAAAACCTAGACTGTAGAAGTTAAAACATGCCCTGTCCTCTGACAATAATGTTCAAATATCAATTTGTATATATGATTTAGTTTTCCATAATTAATATAGACTCTAAGTAAGTGCAATAGAAGGCAATGAGTTCATGGGACACACAGTACATATTTTAAAAATAAAACAATTTCAAGCATGCAAAAATGAGGTGAGACCTGAATAAAATAAAGCAGTGATTCAATTATAAATCTTAGATATCTTTCCCATTTTGTTTTAAAGCTTGACATTATTTCTAATTGAAACATATAAACCTCCATATACTAAATTTTCTTGTGACATCGTTAATTTCATTTACATGATGCTCATTAGGTACCAAAGTAAAAGTGGAAGAGGATTTTCTTCTGTTAAGCCTGTCTAAATAATAGTTTAAACCCATTATCTTTTTACCTTCCCATATGATAATAATGAGCATATGTTCAATTAATCCTTAAAACCATTTCATTGTTTCCAGTGTATATAATGGTTGCCCCCATAGGTAAGAACCACTTTTACTAGTTCATTCTCCTCTATTTTTCTAGCATAGCACATTCCTTCAACCTAATACATATGACAGTTTTGAAGATTCGTTTTCACATTAAAAGAAAATTAAATCTATTTATATTTACCTTTTTGAGGATCTGATGTATTTGAAAAAAGTTTTGAATTATTGGTGAATTTTAAGGTGGGCTGTGGAGTTATGTTTTCTTGGTAGGGTGTGAAAGCAGCAAAGCTTTCACTGGTTGTGGTAAGCCATCCAGTCGGTCCCATTACCACGGGGGTCACAGATCTGGTAGTTGATGCTGGAGGGAGGATGCTAACTGTAGAGGAACTGTTGTCGAGGGTGTTCATGGTGTCATTGCCCAAAGGCCAACTCGTGTTTTCTGATGATACAGCATGTGTAAAACTGGGACGAGCTGAGACTGGCAAAAGATTTTCATTAGTTTTAGATGAATTCAAGATCAATTTAGAAACAGAGCCACGAATCAAGGGTGGCATTGTTGAAAATGTGGATATGGGTCTTGGATCTTGAGAAAAGTTGTCTGTTGAAATGTTACCACTGGAATCTATTTTTCCATAGGTTTTGGTTGGATCCAAAAGAGTGGAATTACTTGCCTTGGAATGGGAGGCATTGCTATTTACATTATCTGAATTTGCATTTACTTCACTTAGCAAAGACATAGACTTATTTTCCATCATTTTCAGTCCTTCTGGAGTGCGTTGTGATATGTTTTTTCTTGTATTTTGTTCCTCATAGCTCCCAAGTGGCAGTAAAATAAACAAAATTGAAATCAACATAATTTTGGCTAAGGTCAACATTGTAGCTTTCATTGATATTTGTTTTATTAAGAGGAATCTGAAAGAAAATAATAATCATTTGAATTATTAAATGAAGTATACCAAGTTATTTAATAGATCTACATTTTTAAAGTGTAAAATAATCTAGAAACATAATGTTGAAGAGACTGTCGTATTGCAAAAAATTGTGTTTTGAGGTGAATTATTTATTTAAACTAGTGTTGCTGAGCTCTATTATATATGTAATATTCTTCCTTCCTTCTAAGAAAAGAACAAGAGAAAACTTTGTCAAGCGAGACATCCCTGTTTTATAGATCATTTAGCTTCGGATAAATTGAAGTATAAATAAAAATTTAAAAAAAATATAAACACATATACCTGGATATACACATGTGATTATACATCTATATGTAAATAAAATTATGTACAGACTGCTAAGTAAGATTGATAGAATATTATAAATAGAGACATTTAGAGATGACTGAATACTTAACCTATTTAGGAAAACATGTTCTTTATAAAGATGAACTTTTGAATATTTTCATAAGAATGACACTACCAGTTTTTACCACACTCAATGTGTCATATATTAGTTCTATAAAGTAAGTCAGAAACTCCCCTGGATACATTTCATTAGTGTCTAGTTTGACTTATTTAAATTTGAAATTAATACTAATTTAATAATGTTTTCAACTTCACGATGTCCTTCTTCCTATTTAATTACAAGTCGAGGAAAATTAAAAAGCTTTTTAAATTTCAGAATATACTTTATTCTTTTACCCTTATTTTATAAATGAAGACTATGTTTGGGGCATATGAGAAAATTCCACCTCATCAGATGATGGTGGAGTTGCAATGAAGCCAGGGACCTGATGCCCAGTCCCAGCTCCCACTTCTTCTTAGGTGAGGAAAGGCCACACTGACTGCACAGAGGATGATAAAAGAAAGTGATTTAGAGTCAGGTTTCTATTAAAAGTTTGTCTTCTTTTATCAATAACCAGTGAAAATTGATCATCATAACATGCAATTGTTTTGACATTGTTATAATATCTAAAGCGACTTCATGTATTTGTTTTGAAGACTAACAAGTTTTAAGAAAAAGCACTCTGAACAATATCTGGCCTAATGTTCAAATATAATATCTCTGCAGTGTCCTAATGTTTTCAAAGTTTACCAAATGTGTCATCTCATTTGCTCTTCATAGTGATCTCTTGAGAAAAGATGAATAGCTTGTCTTATGTCTGTTTTGTAGATGATGAACGTGAGGCTCAGAGTGGCTAGTAATGAAAACTAGTAAATGTAAGCATAAATAAAAATAAAAAAAAATATAAACACACTGAAGAGACAGTACTGAAAGTCAATTTCACAGACTTTACCTGATTAGGTGCTGAAATTTAAAAGAATTTTATTTGAACATTTATTAGTTTAAAAGTATTAGGCTGTTCATCCAGCAATAAAGTCTTAGAACTGATTTTGTGTTCTCTGTATTGGACCTCATTTTTTTACTAAAAGCTTCCAAGTTGATTGAGATAGGGAAAAGGAAGAGGTGCAACTGCTATTATTTAGTTCCCATATGGCCTGCCATTTCTCAAAAATTCTGTCAGAAATTTTCACCAGTATTTTCAACATTGTTGATTTTTCATAAGAGTCTAAGGGACTTCTAAACACTCCTCTGATTATCTTTTTAAAGTATCTCCCACCTTCTACTTAAAGATTTTACACAGAGTGGTACAATCTAAGTATTCTGCTCCTGATAGAATGTTTTCTGCAAAAGCTTTTAAAAAGCAGTCTGTGCCTTTAAATCCCAGAGGTTTTAATGATGTATAATATCTTCCATGCCCTAGGCTAATGACTTAAGAAAAGTTCACTTAAAAAGAAGGCAGGCAGACATAAAGGATATTACAGCATCATGGGTCTCCAGCCTAAGTATCCACTGGTAACAGATGGGATAGCGAATCATGGGATATTTGTATGGTGAACAATCACAAATTATCACTTGGTGCAACACATGGGGAATATCACAAACAGAATGCATAGGTTAAAATGCATGTTGTGTGATTTCCCACACATACAGTTCAAGAACAGGCGGAGCACCACTGTATTAAGGTCAGAGAGTGGCTACTTATGGGGAGAAGACAGGGTCATCCAGGTGGGGCTTGGCAGGGGCTCCTGGTGCACTGGTGATACTATGTCTTGATAGTGACTACACAGGTGCATGCATTTGTGGTAATTCTGTTACATATATTTTATTCACTTTTCAGTAATACCCAGTACAAGGTCCTAAATATTGTTATCATAATTGGAAAATATGTTACTACTATGCATTTCTTATATCACAGGATTTACACATTTTCCATTTAATTCTCACCAAAACAACCAAACAAGAAGGATGAGTTTATATTCCCATGTACAAATGATTAGAGGGTATCCAAAGAATGTAAATAATCACTCACAGCTAGTGACTCAAAGAGGTTAGGATTCAAACACTAACATGTCTGAGCAAGCTCTGGATGTGCAGTCACCCTTCAGTATCCATGGGCTGTTGGTTCCAGGACCCCAGGAGAATATCACAACCTGTAGATGCTCTAGTCTCTTACATAAAATGGTTAAACTTTTGCTTATAACCTAAACACATCCTCCCATATTCTTTAAATTATCTGCAGATTACAGATAACCTATCATTCCTAAAACTGTGTAAACAGTATGTACACAGTTGTTACTGTATCATTTAGGAAAATAATGACAAGGAAGAGTCCATACACACTCAACTCAGATGCATTTTTATTTCTGAATATTATTAATTCTTGGTTGAATCCATGGATGCAGAACACACAGATGCAGACAGCCAGCAGTACTCATCTTTGTAGTATAGATTGTAAAGGAATATAGAATTTGGTACTCAACTGCCTTTTCGAACTTCATTCCAGCATTTCTTTTTAAAGCAGTCTCTCCAAATGTAACTGTTTAGACCATAGTGGTTTATAATCCCATTTAAAAAATAATATTGGAACTATAGAGTCTTCTACCTTAATTACCTTTCAAATATACTTATTTTACCCTACTTGAAGGAATCCCAGCTACTTGAAGGAATCCCAGTAAAAGTCTTTGTGGTTTCTGATGGACACCTTCACAATGGGGTTTAGTGATTCACATTAACAAAACACAAGTGATTATTCACAGGACCTGTAGGTGACCAACATTTCACTAAGTGAATAACTCACCAAACACATTGAAAATATGGTTCAGTTAAGTTTAGGAATAACCACATGCACCTTTCCATAAACATCTTCCTGTTTTGAACCCTGCAAGATTGGTAGCAAACCCGAGAATTTTTTTGCATTATCTACTGCCAGGAATCTGCTTTGTGAATTATTCTTAGTCACTCTTTCTTACAATACTTACAGTTTGATTTTCTTTCCCTAGCCTATGCAGTTTGCCTCTTTTCTTTTCCTTAGAGTGTCCATCACAGGGGAACAGGACCTTAGCTGCTGTTCTACTTTTCTTATAGTGTTACTTGAGGAATGAGGCATTGAGCACTCACTCTCTTCCCGTAATGAGAGTCCACATATCATGAGCCAACAAAGTGAGTTTTGTTGTTCCTATTTCACCTCGCCTGTGACATTGAGCCACCAAGGGGCTCTCTTGTTCCTCCATCTTACTTTTGATTGTAACTTCAAAACCTAGGGTATCCACACCCCAAATTAGTCTAGTGTTCTGTTACTACCTATTATTTATCTCTTGGGAAAATGAAAGAAAGGGAAGTGAGGGATTGGGCAGTATATTTAAATACCATTTACAGTTTATTTGGAAATCAGTGCAGCTTTGGAAAGGCATTTGGTGAAGATTGACTTATTCCTGTTTTCCTGATGTTGCAGCAGAATACAGTACTGCTTCTGCTCCCTGGCTTCTAAGAAAACCAGGTTACATCTCTTACTCGTTTATCTTTCATTTGAGCCAGGAATCAAAACCATCAGCTAGTCAGCTACAGCCCTGAAGTTTTGTAGGGGCAAGGACCAAGCAATTTGGGTTAAGTTTGACCCCATATTGAACTGAACAAACATGTTTTTAGCAAGGTGGTCCAAGAGCTCCACGGGGCAGTAAAGAAAATCTGCATTGTTCTCTTTGCATTTTCTTTTCAGCCTCTCCACATTACTAGAGTTCAAATATTTAAACTACAGTGTATACTTGTTTTAAGCTGAAAATTTATGCTGCATTATGCATGGCATACTTGAGAGTACCCAGGTTCATCTATCAGCCAAGAATAATATGAGGGCAGATAGCAGGTAGAATAAAAGGAAAGGGAAAGAAAATCAGGAATACCAAATAACATCTGTTTGCCTCTTCCAGCCCTGAGTAGAAGCAATTTTTAGGGTGGGACCTCCAAAGAAGTCCTGGAGGAGCAATATAGGAACAGAAATGCAATCATCACAAACTTAAACAACTTTGAAGAGTATAATTATAAAGGCAACAGAAAAAGAGAGTAAATCCAGCTACTATGATACTTTAAATGCAGATCCTGTATATATTGAGAGATTTGGGGGGTTTTTTGTTAGTATTTTGTAACTTTTAATATAGGCTTTAAAATGAGTGAGTTTGCTTTTTAAACCGTTCTCTTGCACAGAGAATGAACACTATTTTCTGCCTGTTGGTATTGGCACTGAGAGGTGGTTTCACATTACTACCTTTGTTTGTAGGGCTACTGCAGGTAATGAGGGGGAAAAAACAAATTTTGGCCATTAAAGGGGCAAACCTTCATTCTGCATGGAATTATGCTTCTGCTTAAAGGCATAAAATCATCATTCTGCCCAGCCTCTGAGCAGTAACTGAGTTATAACCATTTTATACCAAGCTTTGAAAATAAAGAGGTGCCCTGGTTTGTATCAGGTAATCAACCATTCAGGGAAAAAGAAATGTTTTCTAAACTCCATCAAAATAAGACATTTTAAATAGAATACCAGTTATACTCAGGGGATAATACAAAGCATGTTTCTGTAGTGAAATACCTAATGAGTATACCTTGTCCCCAATTTTCTCCCAGTTGCTTTTGGTCATTTCTTGCTATGAATCTTAGTTTATAAATGATGATAGACAGGTTTTGTTTTTCCTTGTTACAGGAACCTCAGTCTGGCATGTAGCTAATACTCCAGGTAGACTTGAGTTTTATTCTGAGTGGTCTTTACAAACTTGGATGGTATTTTCTTTGCCCTACATAAAAGAGTCATAATAAAATGAGAACATTAGATATTATGCTTCTAAATATGCCTCTTTTTTCTATATTTTTATTGATGTATTATACTTATATATAATGGTGGGAGTTGTTACATATTTGTAAATGCACACAATATAAAACAACACATCTATTATAAATAATGTTAGAAGCATGAGTAAGAAGTCAGAATCTAACTGTACCTAAAAACTTTAGGTCCATAATTTTTCATTTGATTAAAAAATAAAAGGCAGCATGACTTTTCTCCCAGAAAAAAATAAATTTTAAAAGTTTATGAATATCATTCTAGTAACAAATCTGGCATGCACAAATCCCCCCAAAATAGAATGTCATACTACTTGCTAACTTAGGAGTTCTCAATCACAAACTTCAGTACTTAAAAAAATGAAGTGGATAACTATCATGCTTAGAAAGTATTGCCTCCAAAAGCAATGTTCAGAATTCATGATTCCCAGCATGCGATTCTCAGCCTTCTATCATATTTCAGTGTCTGTAGGAATAGCTTCTATGGATCAGATAGGACGTTGATCAATTGGAAATAGGCATCCTTTTAGTATAAGGAGCCTAAAATAGCCACACACTGAAAATAACTTTAAGAAATCTAGTCTACACCTTAATTCCATGAGATATTTTCCATGGGATGTCTAACTGACTTAGCCTTTTAAATTTCCAACAAGTGCTAGACACCTGTATTTATCATGCTAAAGAATAATTATATGTACAACTTTTTGCCAAGTTTTCAAGAACATCTTTGAAAAAGTTGGATAGAAGTTTATAATTTATTGTATGTGAAGATTGTTTTTTGAAAAATGATACATTGCACTGGTCAGAGTGATGTACACCTAGAATCCCATCCACCCCAGGACGCTGAGGCAGTAGGAGCACAAGTTCAAAGCCAGCCACAGCAATTTTGTGAGGCCCTAAGCAACTTACCAAGACATTGTCTCAAAATAAATAATAAAAAGGGCTGAGGCTATACCACAGTGATAAAGCGCCACCCCTGGCTTCAATTCTGAGTACAAAAAAAAAACCAAACAATACTTTGTAATGCTTAAACAAAGAAACGTAAATCGCAAGTGCATAATTTAAATCTAAGCAATAAATTTAGTATTTATACATTTTTATACCTTTAAATATTTTGAGACTTGAGTTCTGACTGAAGGAAATTTTATATTGTAGTTGCTTACGCTTAAATAAGTCTTTCATTTAACTCTTCTGCTGGTTTCATCATCTGGCAACTTCGGCAATAATTCTTCAAGTTAACTCACTTAACAGTGCAAATCCTAATTTACAAGGTAATTATCTGATGAACAACTACCTGTTTTTACCAGGGTCTCTGTAGCTACTTGCAGAACTGTCCTGTCACAGGTTGAGGCCACTTTGATTCTCTTTGATCAATAAGTGAGAGAGACAGCCCTAAGTAAAACAGCAAACATACACTTACCTTCAGGACTAGAATGTGTTTACAGACAGGAACTCAAATACCAAAGTTGTCCTGACTGGAAAGAATCTGCGGTGCATGAGAGAAAACAGATGGGTTAAGTGTGACTGTGCTACACTGAGGGAAAGGGTGCCAAAGAAACAAAGTTAGGCGGGGCTGGCTGGAATGGTCTTGCTTGTGTAATAGAGCACCCAAGAACCTGACCGACCTGCTCCTCAGCCCCACACAGCAGGATATCACCTCATTCAAGCCTTTAAAAAAAAAAAAAAAAGTCCAACCCTCCAGTTTTCATAGGTTGGTCGTTTTCTCTTTGGGGTAAGCCAGTTCTCAACAGCAAAACAAGGGCATTCATTTCTTGCCTTATGTGAAGAAAAGGACAGGGATTTTGATAACTTCCTGAGTTGTATAAGGAATTTCTGACACATGCCAGGTGCCCTCTATGCATGTGAGGACACTGGAATGAGTCAGTCTTTTCACCTGTTTCTCTGGGCCTGGGCCGGCCCCACATTGTTCTAAATCATAAGCATATTTTTCTTTCCCAAACTAGTCTGCCCCTTTTGTATATGACAAAACTAAAGAGAGAAAATGTAGTGGGATCAGTAGTGAGGGTATTTACCTGCCTGTAGTGCACTGAAATTGGTTTTCTAAAAAGTCACACTTAACGCAAAGTGAAGGAGTGTGTGTTGTGGAGTGTTCCCTTAGAAATAATCACCAGGGCTAAGGTCAGGTTTCTTGCTGACTTTCAGGAATTTGGGGAGTCACTGGGGCCTATCTGAAAATGGCCATGTGATCCCAAGTAATTCTGGGAGCCTCCTCAGTGAAGTAGTTTCCATCCTGTGTTCTCATTGCTTTTATTCTCAATTTAGAAGCTAGAGAGTTTCAGAAGTGCCCAGGTAATGCTTGATTAAACACTAGAGTTGAATAACAACCTGGCATGCTTCCTTCACTTCCTTTCATGGTTTATGAAAGAGAGAAGAGTGAAACTGGGATATTCTCACATCAATATTTGGGGACTGGCGCCAAGGTCTGTATAGCTCAGTGTGCCCCGGGCTCATACTTGGTTTCTGTTATACAAGGAGATAGATTTCCAACTGCTGGGAGACAAAATGAAACTTTAGCTAAAATGCAGAAACTAATAAGCATCAAACTGAATGCAAAGAATCTGCCAGGTTAATTGGTCCCAGGAAAGAATAAGGTAATTCTATAGGGTTATAGAATTTTCCAAAGCTCAAAGTGCCCTTCAGAGTTTGATTAGAAATTAAAGTAACTCCTGAAAAAAAAATTCACTGCAAGGATATTTAAGCTATATCTGCACTGGTATGAAAAGCCAGCTGAATTTAATCAAACAACTGGTTACTAAGCAATGGCTTAATAGAATCCATTTCTGTTATTATTTTCAGATTAGCCAACTGCTAGAGAAAGAATCCATGGTGGGAAGGGGGTCTCTTCTGCTTGTATTTAGAGAACTGAATGGCAATTATCAGCATTGGATGTACCATGTCATATCTAGTAATACATGTAGGCATATCATTAATCTTCTCTGACTTAGCAGTGTAAGTATGGTCTATGCCAGGTAGGGATGTTGTAAGCACTTTTGCTACAACACTGCTTTCCCTGCTTTATGAGTCAAAGCTAAGCTCTTGTGACCCTACTTCCTGAAGACCCTAGCTGAGCACTCCCAGAATCCTTTTCATATCCAAAAGCAATTGATTAGAACTGACCCTAGAGACTAACCCTATTTACCTGTCATGAATACATCAGGAAATAAAGCCAGAAAATGAAAACTATTCATAAATTTAATGCTTCAGTTGTTACTTAGCTTACTGAGTTGTAATTAGAAGCCTTGGTTAAGGTACCTGAGTTGGAACTAAAAAGAAAATTTTTGCCACACAAGTCTGACTGAGATATATTTCTACGAATATACCGTGTTCTAGGTAAACTAATCCCATATCAGACCTCATTTCTCTAGAGAAATTCAATAAAATAGGACAATTACCTGACAATTTCATCATCCAAGCCAGCTGAGATGACACATTGTACAGTACTTATATAAAAAAATTGTACTTACCTACTATGGTGCCTTTCATTTGGTACTTGGAATTGCTTTAGGGTCATTAAGACAGTAATACTTGGAGGAAGAACACCTGCTTCTTTGTCTGAACTGTCAGTGCCATTCACAAGAGGAATTTCTAGAAAATGAAGTCATGTTACTCTCACTGATATATCTGAAAACAGAACCAGGATGTAGCTTGAGACCACAGTACAAATGAAATCATGTTGTTCTTTATCCAATATAGAACCTTTTTGTAAAAATCCTATAGCATCAAATGCCCTATGTTAATGTCACACACAGGGAATTTGTTTGCATTGATCAGATTCATTGACTACAGGTTATGAGTTTAAAACAAGTTATAAATTAAATTCACATATTGTCTCCCCACAGGGGCATGGATACTTTAAGCATCAAAGAAATAGTTCCTTAATAATAAAATAAATTGCATTGTGGTTATATTAATTTGAAGGTATTTCAATAATATTCTTTATAAATAAAATTACCAGAAATTCATTTTAGAGTTCAATACATTTCATTTCCTTCAATACTCTGTTAGAAGAAAAATATCGGAGTAATTTTCACAAATGCAAATAGCTGTTTAATATATAAACTTATCTGTTTCCTGTTAAGTTGTGTGATGTTTTAATATGATATTCATGTAGCTATGACTTTACAGAGAGGTTAATTGCTTCATTTTTATGCTAAGGATAATTTAGGGCAGTGCCCTTTTTTGAGTACAGGCTTTGATATGGCATATGTATGTATGTATGCAAGTATGCATGCTTGCCATGCATACATACATCAACAGTGGGCTAAAAAGTTGAAACTGGGTAAATCACTAAAAATAACTATAGGATAGTTCTATGTGATTCTGGCATTTAATTCAGGCAGTAGCTCCAGGAATTAAATGATATCACCATGACAAAACCTGGTGCATTCCTGTCTGTGAATATGTTTTCTCCATTAATGTCTTTATGAGAAAAAAGACCTGATACTGAAACAAAACCTATCTCATTGCAGTCATAATTAATAGGTATTGGTAAATACCTAAAGGTATTGAACAACAAACAAAATCTTCATAGATATCTTAAAACGATGTATTTATAGTAAGATATTCAAGTATATATTTATTATTTATTAATATTTTAAAAGAATTATATTGGCTTATTAATTTAATAACTTTTTTAAAGTAAGATACTAGTGGTCACAAGAAATCTTAAAACTTTTTAACTTATTTTTTGTTGTTGTTCAGAAGATTTGTCAAGATGATCAATAAAAATCTTACAAATGTAAATGTATTACAGACAATACTATAAGGCATAAATAGAATGAAAATAGATTTAAAGATAAAATGCAATGATTAATATGTGCAATTGATAGAATAGTTTATTGAAAGCATCTTAAAGGATTATAATAAGGTATAAAAGATCAGTATAAAATTATATTTTAAATATTAATTTATATAATGCACTGGAAATTGTGTTCTTTGCAACCATTTAAAATATATGAAAATAAAATGTCAATGATATTATTAAAATGCTCAAGAGGATAAATAGTTTCACACATTTATTTTGGGAATCACACATTTTTGAGACAACTGATTTATTGTACCTTTTAATTCAGAATCGAAAATCAGATATTTTCAATAATTTCTGAATAATATCTAGTAATTCTTCCAGACATTCAGAGATTCAATATATTTTATGGAGTATTTTTTTCATACTATTTAGGATCTAAAACAAGTTCCTACTGTGCCTTTTTATCTGTCCTTCAGTTCTAGTAAAGAAAAAAAAAACAGTATGGGTTGCTGAAATGTAGCAGAAACATTTAAAAAGTAACCATTGCTTTCATCAGTGTGTTCCTTCTTGGTCACAGACTACACCTGTTATTAGAATGGCTTGTGGTATAGGTGGTCCCATGGAGTCTTAATTTGTTGTCAGAACTCTAGGGCTCCTTCGCTGGATGGGTTCCCCAAACTCATGAGTACCATGGACCATGGCAGTAAGGAGCTTGAGAGGACAAACTCAGGCCACCAGGTTAGAGTTTCCTTGTTGGATCCTGGTTTTCTACTTACAGGTTTTATAACCATGGCATAGTACTATCACATTTTCAAGACTGTTGTCTCATTTGCAAAATAGGGAGATTAATTCCTACCTTCTAGCTGTTTGTGAGAAGTCAATGAATTAGGATAAAGTAGTTCCACATTGTTTGACATTTAGTAGCCAAACTCAATTAGACCCAATTAATAGTAGATATTACAGATTTTTAATATGGTAAAAGTTGAATCTTAATGTCAAAATTAATAAAAGTTGAGTGAAACCCTGCTAAGTATACAATCACTTGTATGGAATCATTTTGGATCTATCTCTTGACATACTAGCTGTTCAATACATATCCATTGAATGAAAAAAAATGAGTGAATTTTTCATTTTCAATTGATTCTTTTTTCCTGACTAGAGACTTTCCATGACCACATTTTAAAACTACAACCTCTTTTTCTTTTCCTTTGTTTTTTGTTATTATTGTTGTTGTTGTTGTTCTGGCTGATCTCCTCCCTGCCTATTTCGCCATTACATTTTCTGCCATCTATCATACCCTGTATCTTATTATGTTTTTAACTTATCTATTCCTATATTAGAAAGTTGGCCCATGAAAACAAACATTTTTGTTTGCATTTTTCATTGCTTTATACAGAGAGCTAGTCTAAGATCAGGCACATAGTAATGCTCACTAAATATATAAATTCATGAATAAGTGAGTGAATTATGTATAAGCAAATAATTATGTATAAGTAAATAGTAATAGCAAAAATGAGTGAATATACTATACTTAAAACATGTGTAAGCTTACTTTTTTATTGTATCTAGAATATTATTCCTATTGTTGGCTCATTCAAATCTGAAATCTGATTCTTTTTCACTTAAAAATATTCTTTGGATTGTGTTTATGTGAGTGTATATGTGTTTGTGGTACTGGGAATTGAACCTAGGGTCTTAAACATGACAGGCTAGTGCTCTGACATTGAGATACAGTGATCATATTTGAATGTATATGTAGATCTTTGAGCCATTTCTTTTACATTAGGGATGGGAGCTTGTTCACAAAAGAGTTGATCTTTACAAGGGATATGTTTATCTTCAGTCACGTGAGAATGTAGAGTACATGA